AGTCAGAGAGTCCAGATCTAAATATGATTCAGATCTGGAAACATCCTAATGAGATTAGGAGAAGGCTGATCTAATCTGCAGATAAGATAAGGGTTTACCCTTWTCACTTAAAGGGAATTCTGATCCAAATATGATTTGGATCAGCAACTCCTAATGGGATTAGGAGCTGATCCCTTTAAGATTATAAAAGGAGGGGGCAACAACCTTTAGAAGATATACATTCACATCCTCTTCAGAGCTGAAATCACAGAAGGAAGAATTCAGCAACCCTACGAAATTCCTTCTTGCCGCCGCCTCACCTGCCAGTTCGATCTCTAGTTCAGTGGGAGAAATCAAGATTGGATCTTGATATCGGTTCCTTGTGAAGGGACTGATAGGAAGCTGTGCTCACGTGCCGTCCTTCTAATTCTTGCGAAGGATTAGGTTTTTGGGAAGAACACTGCTAATTCTGCTCCATCCTGCACTGCGCCATCTTCAGTGGGAGCAGTCTTTGGATCCTTCCTTGGGCGTGAACACCTTCGTTGGGAGATATTATTTCTCCGTATCAGGTATATCCCTCTCTTACTGCTTTTGTTTAGATTTGGTTCGGTTTATGGTTCAAGATTTATCCTTGAAAAATATGATTTTTCTAAAATAGGGAATACGATTCTCAGTAGGATGGAGAGAAATTTTTGAAATTCGCCCATTCTATTCCGCAAGATTTGGGCATCCATACGATGAATATCTCATCCCTTCAGTGGTATCAGAGCCAGGTTCAAGTCTTGAACCGAATTGGATCAAATCTGAACCTACGCAAATGGGCAGAAGGCGTTCTACCCGATTTGCGCAGATATAAGGTTTTTCTGAAGATACTTAACACATTTAGGAGGATCAGAAGGGCCAATGTGTATTAACTTATATTCAGCACACAAATCCAGAAATCTAGTATAATATTCTTGTATTTTCCTGTCCTTGACGATATGCAAAGATTTCAGTTTCAATTTGGTACTTCCTAGACATGTTAGACTGGCAATAAACCTTCTTCAAATAAGCACACATGTCAAAGGAAGTTCTCATTCTTCTCATGAGTACAACAATATGAGTTTCAATGGAACTTAGAATCCAGGGCACCAATTTTCTATTGTCAAGTTTCCATTGTTGAAAATCTTTTGTTTTAGTTTAATCTGGCTTAGTAACTGTACCGTTCAGTTAACCTTCCAGGCCCTTTCCCTCAACAAAGAAATCAAAATGGAACTTCCACATATTGTAGTTAGTTCAATTGAACTTCACAGGTATGACATCAACCTTATCATCCATCTAGGTTAACATTTTCCAGTCCAGAGCGATAATAGGAATGAGTCTAGGTCTGAAAATGTGATTCTTGAAGATAATAATCCAAACAACTAGGTTTTAGGACTAACAGTCCAAAATATGGAAGGTTTGCTGGCCTGATGAACTATAGAAGGGACAAAACCCTTAACGAAGTAAATCTTCAAACCAATCAGTGGCGCATCTAAAGAAGGTCAGGGCGACACAAACTTTAGGGTACAAGGATGAACAATACAACCAATTGGTAGAAATCACAAAAAAACTCACCTGGTAGGCGTCTTTTCCAGAGAAAACAGGTTGTCTTGGGCTGATAAAAACATCCCTCAAAATAGTCTTAAAAGTGTATTCATATGGAGGTCTAAATCCCTTTGAATCACCCTTTTGAGTCTCAGGTCTTGAATCAACTCGAATGCTCTGATACCATGACTACAAGAGGGTTCGAACAAGAAGGGAGACAAACAGTTTTAAGGTGTCAAATGGAAATGGTCGACCCCCACCCCAAAGAGTTTCTATTAGATTAAAATGATATGTACAATTACAGAAATGCCCATAAAGGGGTAAAAGAGAAAAAGAACAAATACAAAGACTATAGATTACAATAATAGTGTACAAATGCGACTATGATAAAAATATACATCAGTCTTAGAATCTCGACAATTGTTGGGTGTGTCAAAGTGACGGTTGACACCCAGGAAAGAATATTTATATTAAAATAGTAAAAGGACCATTCTGTCGTCAATATACAAGTTATATACAAAAGAATAAGAAACAACCTAATGTACAAGAAAGGATGAAAAAGACAAAAATAACCCTTTAGCTCTCTCTACAAGCATCTTGTGCTTTTCCTTACCGTACCTCAAATCTTATCAAGCTATTTCAAGTTGCATCTTGTGTTACTAGATGTGTTTCAGTCCTAACAAAATCTGTAAAATAACCTCAGATTAGAGCAAGCAAAGAAAAGGAAGAAGAAGACAACTGAAACAAGAAGAAGAGGAAGGAGAAGAGAGTGTTCGATGACTTCTCTCCCTCCCCTCTTATCTTTTATTTAATCTCGTTAAAAACGAACAGATTACAAGTATGCCCTTAAGTGGGTGGCCAGCTCATTAGCATGGCTAAAAAACATAAGAAAAGATCAACAGGCCCATAAAGAGAAGGCTTATTAACAAACAAAATAACTAAGAAACACTAATATCAAAACAATAATACACTAGGGCCCATTTGGCCCAGTCTCTCTACATTACTAAAGGTCATAGCTAGTTTTATTTATAAAAAAAAGGTTATAACTCCACTTTAAAATAAAAAAAAGGTTATTACTAGTTTTCTCCCCTACCAAAACACCATAAAACTTTGATTTTTCTCCATCCTAAACCCACCAATCTCTTCCATAAATATATTATAACCATCATAAATTATTTCTTAATCATTCACTAGCCTATTTTCCTTTATAATCTACAAATTTCATTGTTTCTCCTCTCTTTTGCCCAACCGTGTTCTAATTTGTTCGACTTTCTTTGATCTCCAAAAAAATTTAAAGGATCTCAATATATAGCCCATCCCTAAGTTTAATTAAATAAACATATTTAGTTATCCTTATTTAACAATGGAATAAGAAAACTTATCTTCTATGATGCCTAGATACAGATACCAACTCAAACATGGATATAGGAAACAGGGATATGACTCTCCATTTCCTAAAACCCCAGGCATGGATGCAGGTATTGGTATCCCACATAAAATGTTTGTATCATGCTTTTATATCTATCTTTTGAAGCCATGTTATTTATCAAAACTTATATCTTGCCAAGTCTAATTAAGTTTTTGACACGTAGAGATGTTTTATAGTATGATTTGTCAAAATATATCATCTTACATATTTTAGAAGTGCTAATGCTATATGGTTGTTGAAGGCATTTTTTTAATCCAAATAATATTTATATAAATTACAACTCAAATAAGTGGGTTGGCTAGTCTGCTAGCCAAATCATTAAAACTATAAAAAGTCTCCTGTATGGGAGTTCCCTCTATTTAAGTGGGAGGGACAGGTGTCCTTCACCTAGGAGGAGGAGGTAGTTACATAACTACCCCACTCCCTATTTAAGCTCCTTAAGGGGAAGCTAGAGACAGAGAGACTCTTCGGAGAAAATTTTCACAAGAGATTCTTAAGAAAAGCAAAGATAAGGAGAGAAGAAAAGAGAAGTTCTCAAGGGAAGGCAGGGAAGGAAAAGTCTCACTAATATAGGTAGAAAAATGAAAGTCCTCTCTGTGAATACTTCCTATTTATGTCTTCTTCTATGTATCCTTCTTTCTCTCTCTTTTATTTTTGCTTTTGAGAAAGGAAATAGAGGGATATAAACCATCTACAACCAGGTGCCTCTACTTGGTTGATTATGGTCCCTTTTTCAAGACAAAGTTAGGGATTAAACCATTTAAGGGAGCAATTGGAGATGATTTAGCACAAAATAATGAAAACACATTAATTGGGAAACTTTCAAGTTTTGAGATAAAATAAAGAAAAACATGCCTAGATCAGTATTATTTTTAGGCATAGGAATCACTCACCAAACTTAGGTATTATTTTTCATAGGAAATATGATGCAAAGAAAAATCCACTTTTGTGGAAAAAAAAATCAGTTATCCCAACCTAAAACATAATGTTTGGTTAAAATGACATCTGCCTTATGAAACACTAGAAAATATATCAGGGAGAATTAAAGATATGTTTATTTCCTGTGTATTTGGATATGGAAATATTTTGAAATTTTTAATCTTAAAATAATCTGTCTTTCTGTAGTTGTTTACTGATGATGGCTTTTGTGGAGTATATTATGGCTGTAATGCAATGCTCAAGAGATAATATTCTCTTGGTCTGATAGGCATTTATGTTTTGCTGCAATTCTTTTATAAGAGATACTGTCTTTGCATTAGTCTATGGTGTGCATTTAACGCTCTGGTGGATTAGAGCTTTAAATTTTCATTCATACATTGTGCTTAACATACTTTTTTTCTATATGTTTACTGCAGCCAACTGGATAACAATCACTTTAATGAGTCTGAGATCCCAGCTTCTTACAAAAATATGTCAAAGCTAGTCAAATTGTAAGTGTAATTTCTCGAAACTATAATCTTTTTCACTAAACTTTAATGACTGACAGGGACTAGTGGGCATGCATATTTTTTCTTTACTATTTTCATAAAATGATGAACATAGGTGAACCTTTGGCATGCAAGTGGTAATAATTAATTTTCATGATTTAATAAACAAGATGAAGAAGAGAAAGGTGTTAGGACCTGATGTAATACCAATAGAAGTGTGGAAAGAGATGGGAGAGGTAGGCTTATTATTTGCTAACTAAGCTATTTAGTAAGATGATGAAAGAAAATAAGATGCCCGATGAATGGAGTTGTATTTACTTTTCTTTCATTTAATTCTTTATCTTGTTTTTGATATAAAAAAATCGGAGATCTGATTGGAAAGAGTGGATACCTAAATTCTTTTTGGTGCATCTTAGCAGAAGTCTTCGGAATTGCAGCTTGCAAGGGGCCATTCCAGATCTCAGCAGTATACCGCACCTTCATTATTTGTAAGTTCATGAGTATTAATAAAATTTTTTAAGGTGAAATTCACCCTTCAGGACAAAAGGTGAAATTTTGGGAGGCACTTGGTGGGAAAATTCTCCACTCTGCCATTTGTTCCCAAGAATTTATGATCTGTCAAATATCAAGAACAACCCTATTGTTGAATTATATTCCGTTGATGAGTCTGGTTTGGCTTGGGATTTGGGTTTACGGAGACCCTTGAGAGACAGTGAAACTAGTGAACTGATTCCTTTATTGAATGTACTCCAAGACCTTATCTTTGTCCCCTCGGGCTCTGATGAGAGGGTATTGTCCCTTTTGGTTAGTGGCATGTTCGCCTTTGCATCCTTTTTTAAATCACTGGTTACCCCAATTGAAAGCCCAGTTTTTCCAGCAAAAGAGTTGTGGTCTAGCCCAATTCCGCCCAAAGTAAAGATTTTTTGTTGGAAGGCTGCTAATCAGATCATAAACACTTGTGAGAGACTCCAAAAAAGTGGAAGAGTTGCTCTCTTTCTCCTTACGTGTGCGTTTTTTTTTTTTTTTCTGCAAGAATGGGGAAAATGTCAAGCATCTTCTTGTGCATTGTCCCTTTGCCTCTCAGGTATGGCAGTATTTTTTATTTTTATTTTTTTTGTCTTTGGTGGGGGAAGTGTTGGTAGCACCTATTATTATTGAGGATCTGTTTAAAGCAAATATAATTTGGTGTGTCACGAAGGCAAAATATTCTGCAGCAATGTGTGAGGGGGGCAATGCTATGGAGTCTTTGGAATGAGAGGAATGCTAGAATTTTTAATTAAAAATATAAACAAGTGGAAGAAGTGATTGAACTCACAATGATAAGGATTGCACATTAGGCATTTATTTATAAAGAATTTAAGGGTGTTAAGCATAAATGATATGATGAGAGGGTGAAACATGGTAGCAGGTTTTCATTCCAGGGAACCCAAAAGAGTGGTGGAATGGTTCCCTCCAGGGGAAGGGAGGTGCAAGCTAAATTTTGGTGGGTGTTATTTAGGGAATCCTGGAGAATCTGGAGTGGGGTTTGGATTCTTTAAGAGCTAAGCTACTGGCCTTACTACAGGGACTAAAATTGAATTTGCAACAGGGCTTGACGAATGTAGAAGTTGAAGGGGACTGTCAAACAATCATTTGGTGGATGAATCCTCAAGACTGTTCTCCATGGAAGTTTAGATATTTGGTGAGATTGGGTCACTCTTTAGTCTTTAGGTGCCTCTTTGAAGACCTCATTCAATTGGTTCCTAGGAGTGCCAATATGATAGCTGATGAGTTGGCAAGAAATGGGGTAGACAGATATTTTGGACTGGGGATGCCTAGGGCTGGGTTATAATTTGTAAGATCTTTCTTTTTTATGCTTTCTCTGTTTTTTTGTGGTTTTTTGGGCTGTTGTGGCCAAAGCTGTTGTAATCTGCTCATTGGTTTGTGTCCCTCTATTATACTTCCCATTACTATTCTCTCTTTAATGAAAGTAAGCTATTGTTGATTATCAAAAAAAATTGTTATGGTGCTAATGTTAATTTTCAGTGACTCTGTTTATAATTTAATTGAGATCTGTCCTGTGATAATGATTTTTCTGAATAACTATTTGGAGAGCTTCATGTTACAGAGATCTTAGTTGGAATGAGCTTACTGGATCCATACCATCAAATAAACTTTCTGATCGTATCACCACTATGTACGTAAAATAAGTGTTGACCTTTCAGTTTATTAGTAATCTTTCTTTTTTTTTTCTTTTTTTTTATTATGACTGGATGATTTTAGTGAAAGATCATGATCAATATCTTCTGAGAATCTCATTCTTGTTTCACATTGTTGGCACACTTGATAAAGAATTTCATTATATCACCAAATGTCTTATGCAGAGATCTGTCACATAATCATCTTAATGGATCTATCCCTGCAAATTTCTCAGTTCTTCCTCATCTCCAAAGATTGTGAGTACCTGACTATGTTTTAGTTCCAATTCTCCATTTTCCTGCTATTGATCATGCAATTCTGCTTCTCATGCACTGATTTTTCACCACAGGTCACTTGAGAACAATTTGTTAAGCGGGTCTGTTCCTTCAACCATTTGGGAGAATATGACATTCACTTCATCTGCCAGTCTTACATTGTAAGACACTCAAAGCGAAAGAAGATTATTTCCATATGATTTTCTAATGCATCAGTATCTCCAAGCTTCTACCATGGTTTCGTATTAACTATTAAGAGGATCTAAAAAAGTTTTATATTCCTGTTTCCCCACTCACCCAAGATAAATAACTCAGTTTTCTGGATTTCATGCATATTTTTATCAAGCTCTATGATATGTTTATCTTTCTTTTTTTTTTTGTTTTTTTTTTCCTCCATGCACTTTGAATCTACAGGGATCTCAGGAATAATTCACTTTCAAACATTTTAGGGGATCTTCATCCTCCTACCAATGTCAGCATAAGGTATGTTTATACAAGTCTATTAAATAACTTCAATCTACCTCAGTTTCCAGTTTTGTTGAATGTTGATCCGTTCATACTTGTTTGAGTTTTTTTTTTTTTTTTTTTTTTTATTAATAATAAAAAATGAATCTAGCATGGTGCAAAGTTATAGTAAAATGCTTAACTGTTGATAATCTAAATAGAAGAGGTATGGGGGTGGAAAATAGCACATGTTCAATGTGAAGAGAGGAAACAGAAACAGTGGATCAACTCTTCATTCACTGCAGGTTTGTACACACCATATGGAACAAGCTGTAAGTTCTTTATGGGGTCGTCTCCATTTCCCATCTAACCTGGAAGCATTTTTATGGAGCTGGCAGTTGAGGGGTTTGAGTAAAAGAGGAAAGGTTGTTTGGGGAGTGACACCTTTGGCTGTGATTTAGACTGGACCATCTTGTCTGAAAGGAACTCAAGACTTTTTGAAAACAAATTCAATTGGGGATACAGTTATCAAATATGTATAGGGAAAAAATCACACTTGGACAACAAGTAGTAGTCGAATAGGACTACAATCAGTTCTAGGTACAGTGTGAAATAAACAAGAAAAAATTGAGAAAGAAAGAAGAAGACGAAGAGAAGAGGAGAAGAAGAACTCGAAGAGAAGAATTCAGAAAAGAGAGAGTTGACTATCTTGTCGCCTCATTCTACAATTTATATTAATACTCAAATAAAAGGTGAAAGGGCTGAATTACCCTTACTGCTTACATGGCAAAAGAAATAAAAAGAACTAATAAAACTACCAACTGAATCTACTGCTAACGGAAACTAACTATAATCACAAACTAATGAACACAGTGAGGGCTACATCACTGTTCTCTACACTCTCCCTCAAGTTGGGAATAGATGTTTGTCATTCCCAACTTGCATTGATCTGCTTCTAACTTTGTCTTTGAAACTGCCTTGGTGAGAAGATCTGCAAGTTACATGTTGGAGGTGATATATGGAAGACACACTTCTTGAGAAGCAACTCTTTCTCTAATAAAGTGTCGGTCCACTTCAATATGCTTAATTTTGTCATGTTGTACCAGATTATGGGCTATATTAATAGCAGCCTGATTATCACAGTACAACATTAGGGGTTTCTCATAAGCAATACCCAACTACTCAAATAGTGATTTCAACCATAGTATTTCAGCCACACCATTTGCCATGGACCTATATTCAGCTTCAACACTAGAGCAAGCAACAACATTTTGTTTCTTACTCCTCCAAGAAACAAGATTACCCCCTACAAAAGCACAACATCCAGAGGTAGACCTCCTACCATCAACACACCCAGCCCAATCAGTATCTGTGTAAACTTCTGTTTTCATGTGGCCATTATCCTTGAATAGTACACCTCTGCCTGGACACCTTCAAATATGCCAATATCTTCTCAACTGTAAGTAGATGAGTAGTTTTAGGAGAGTGCATATACTGACTGATAACATTGATTGAGAAACAAAGGACCTCGTAACTTCACTATCTTCCCCATGTGAGCTCTCTCTCCAAGCAGATAGATTCCATTCGTCTCATGGCTAATCCCAATCACCTTCCTTGTCTCCAAATCCTGAAAAACACCTCAATCAGGGAAAAAGGTTACTAAACAATTTTGGGTTTTAGCAATGCTACTAACTGAGAGCAAATTATTACTAAGTTTAGGAACATGTAAAACTGAAGACAAAAAAATGGCATTAGACAACTTTTTGTCTCCCTTGCTAGAAATGGTTTAGAGAGACATTAGCAATAGACACTTTATCTCTGCCAGAGGATAAGTGATAGGTAGTAAACAGTGAGGACAAACCAATCATATGATTAGATGCACCTGAATCTATCACCCAACAGGGTTCAATGTTACGTGGGGCTGAAACATGATATGTTGAGGCCCGTGTACCTGAATGAGCAAAAGCTGAAGTGGGAGGAGCAGATGGTGTGACTGACGGCTGATATTATAGTGCTGAATTACTAACTTCACTTTCCAACTGAGTCAGAGCAGCCTGGACGGAAGCTAAGGTGTCTAGGGATGTGGCTCTTGTGCCCGATGAGGTTGCACAATCAGTAGTAACAGCCACATTGGCATTTCCCTTTTTGTTTTTGAGTCTTGTTGGAACTAGATGTGGATGTAACTTCCAACAGGTGTCTTTAGTATGTTTAGATTTCTTGCAATGTTCACATACTAGGTCCCTCTTATCTTCCTTCTTCATATCTCTCTCCTTATCACCCCCAAACTTGATTTAACTGCTGTAAGGCTGATTCAAAAGGCTGATGCTGTAACATAACCTATTTCCTACTCTCTTCACTGTGCACTAAGGAGTAGGCTTGTGACAAGGTCACACTTTCTCTTGTGAGAAGTTTTCTCACAATATCATATTCAGAATTCAGACCAGCTAGGAATTCAAACAACATATTAGTTTCAACTTGCTTTCTATAAGTCTGTGCATCATTCTGACTTTCCCACTCAATTGTTTCTAGGTGGTCAATTTCATGCCATAAGGATTTCAAGGTTGAGAAGTAAATCGAGACTGTTTTCTCTCATTGCTTAAGATTATTAACTTCACATTTCAGCTCATAAGCCCTAGAAACATTAAGGGGTTGGGAGTAGGTCTCTTTCATGATGTCCCAAACTTCCTTAGTTGTTTTTGCCCACAAGTAGTTTTGGCTGATATATGGCTGCATGGAGTTGTACAGCCATGTCATATCCAAATAGTTCTCCTAAACCCATTTGGCATAGGTTGGGTCCTCCGTAGTTGGTTCCTTCACAACCCCCAACAAATAATTTAGTTTCCCTCTACCCCCATTGGCCGTCATGGCTGATTGGGCCCACTCCAAGTAATTTGATCCATCAAACTTGACAGTGGTAATCTGAAAATTGTTCTCAGTCTTGCTACCAGAACCACCAGCCCCCAAAATACCTTCCCCTTGATTTTTAAACTCCATTGTTGCCAGCCCTTCTCAAGTTATAGGTCAAAAAGCCCCTTTTTAGAACTGAAATAGGTGAAATTACACCCAGAGATTGCTTGACAGCTGACCTAGAAGGTTCGACAACCACCCAGAAAAGATGAATCAGATTTGATAGTTTTCCAGAAAGTAGAAAACTCACTCTTGAATGCTGAAACTGGTCAAATTATTGCCCTAGGCAACAACCACAAACTTTAGGGTTTCAATCCTAGAACTGATTGTAGGTCAAGAAAGAAACCCTAAAATCTCAGGAGAGAACTAAAGATCTTCCAGCCACACCTCCCAGATTGATAAAAAGAATGTCTTTTAAGGTTCGATCTTAAGAAAAGATGTCTACTCAGAAAAGTCTAGCCGCCACCTTCCAACCAAGGTCTGAACCCTACAACTTAGATTTCTTCCCTTCTTCTGATTCTTCCTGATTGCTGAACACTCTTCAAGGCCCTACAAACCCTTGGGCATCAATTGCACACTGCCAGCAGCCTCCAAGAACCAGCCGATAAACATATCTCTGCTGAAACTTCCAACCCTAGGAAGTTCTCATGTAGTTGGCCTGATTAGACTAGCATAAGAAATCCTAGGTTGGCTCTGATACCAAGTAGTCGATAGGACTACAATCAGTCCTACGTACAATGTGAAATAAACAAGAAAAGATTGAGAAAGAAATAAGAAGACGAAGAGAAGAAGAGAAGGAAAACTCGAAGAAAAGAATTCAAAAAAGAGAGAGTTGACTATCTTGTTGCCTCACTCTACAATTTATATTAATACTCAAATAAAAGGTGAAAGGGCTGAATTGCCCTTACTGCTTACATGGCAAAAGAAATACACAAAACTAATAAAACTACCAACTGAATAAACTGCCAGTTGAAACTAACTATAATCACAAACTAATGAACACAGTGGGGATAACATCACTGTTCTCTACACAAGTGATAATAGATTATAAAATATTCCTAATAGTTTTTTTAGGGCAGGACATTTTTTTTATCTATCAGAATATATAGATGGAATAGTCCATGCACATGAGCTCATAGTCCATACTTATAGGTGAGGTATCCCCTGGAGGCTGCATAATGGGCTCTCCGTAATGGCTCCACATGTTGGGTTTCCATAAAGGCCAGGACCATTGAGTTGGTGCCCATGTGGCTGAGTGTTACTCGGGCATTAAATGAGCCAAAGGATGTGGCGAAGGTCATAATGCCTGTTATTACGATCTCTCATAAAGGCAGGAGGGGAAATTATCAAGGTTACCCTCTGAGGCCTGTGCAATGACAAGATTGCCCCCTGAATGTGCCACGTGTCAAGCAGTGATTGGACGGTCAATATTGCCACATCAATAACAAACCTGATCACTAGCTGAACCCTTCTTAACTGTTATACTTCTGAATTGATCACTTCACACGGGCCAGGCCACTGTTAAGTCACTACTTGCTTCATTACAATTTAAATCACTTCACTGTTCAACCTTTTGTCTTCATAAAATCATCACAGATCTGATTTCCCTCACAAAAAAAACCATCACAGTCCCTCCTGGATTAGTCCCACTCAAGGGTTCTTACTTCACACATAACTTACAACACTTATTGTGACAGCTGAAACCATCACAGATTACTTGACAGATCAAAGTATGTAGATTTATCAATAGAATTGGACTGTAGGAACACAAAAATAATTCTTTTAAGCAGATCGCAAGAATGAAAGGGTAGAAAGGGTCTCAATCTCCTTACTCTTATACCATGTAATGGTGCTGAATGGATTAGGATCAGGAAGACTGAAGCTGTTTAGGCGAGGATTAGTGAACTTAAACCCTCTTAAGGGAGTCATCCCAGATTTATCTTAATATCAAAATAATTGTAGTTAAAAAAGTGCCTCTGTTTATGTTAATTTCTCAACTGGAGCATTCTCTTTTTCTAAGTGAATTTCCTAAACTACCCTGCTGCTGAAGAACATAATGTAAACACTCCTTTCAACAATGGTGAACCAATTTCTATGCAATAGAGCATCATAATATAAGATTGAATTATCTCAATTGTGCTAATGTCTTCTTCTTATTCTTATGTTTATGTTTGTTTCTGCTAAGTTGCTAACAAAGGCCTAGAGATTTGGATACTAAGGTCAAAATTTTTCAAACCTGTTTCTCAAACATTATTGAATGGAGCTGCTAATCAACCTTATAGAAAAGTTCGTCTTTATCAAATATCCTCTTCTTTATGTTCTTCCCATCTATGACAACCTGGTAATCTATGAACACATTAGAGAAGTCTTCCTCCCTAGATCCAAATAATAATACACCTCTTGGCCAATTTAAAATTATGCCTAGGGACTAGGATTGTTGTAATGTGTTGCTACACTGATGTGTCTAGGTGAGGGTTATGGTTGTGGTTTTGCTCTACCCTACCCCCCAATGTTCTGTTCCTCTTTCATTTTTTCTTTTCCTTCTCTTTTCTTTCCCTTGTGTAATTCTCATCTTTAATGGATTTCTCTTTGGAGTTCTCTTGCTGATAAGAAAACAAAAGAAATTTCTATTCCATTTTTGATGGAAGAAACATTTTGTGAAAGCATTAATATAAGTTCATTTATGCAAATGCCAGCACACTTTGTCAAACAGTTAGTATTTTTTAGGGATTTAATAATAAAATTCGTTACATTCATTCCTGCTCTTTGTCAGCTATTTATATGATTATAACGAAAATAATCTACACATTCACTATCATATTCTATATATATTTGATTGCTTCATAATGTTTCTTCGTTGATAGATAACTACCTAAGATAAGTTGTTCTCTTGAACTTCTAATGCTTCCTCCATTTTTCATTACAACTAATGTAATTGGCATCACTGCCTTGATGGTATAGGCTTCAAGGGAATCCTGTCTGCAACAATGTGAACAAACGAAACATGGTGCAGTTCTGTCAATCTGAAGCTAGAGGGGAGGAGACACTTGGTAGCTTGAGCAACATGACAAATATTTGTCCAATCCATGCATGTCCCTTTGATGATTTTTATGAATATGTTCCAGCATCTCCTGTTCCATGCTTTTGTGCAGCACCAATTAGAATTGGATATCGCCTTAAAAGCCCCAGTTTCTCATTTTTTCCTACATATTTAGACCTTTTCAAAGATTATCTTGCTGATTCTCTCTATTTGGACCATTATCAAATATCAATTGATTCTTTTATTTGGGAGCAAGGTCCTAGGTTAAACATGTATTTAAAACTTTTCCCTACGGTTTATAATAACTCACACATATTCAATATTAGTGAGATTCAAAGGATTAGAGGCTTGTTCACAACCTGGGCATTTCGTGGTAGTGATTTTTTTGGACCATATGAACTGCTCAACTTCACTCTCATTGGACCTTATTTAAATGGTATGTTTTCAAGGCTATCTTTTTCTAGTTTAAATTTTGTAGATTGAATCATAAAGCTTCACACATTTTTTGAAAGTTGACCTCCTATGTGTTTTCTCAAGAATCAAAGACCATCAATGTTCCAGGTCTTTCTCTATTAGAAATCTGGAAGCATAATTTTTGCTATCTCTATTAGAAAACTGGAAGCACAATTTTTGTTTTCTCCATTTAAGTTTCTTTAATGTAACCAGTATGATAGTTCATGATTCATCTTACTTTTACAGTGAATTTTGGACCTCAAGGGTCTATGATAAGCAAGAGAACCTTGGCTCTGCTTCTGTTTGGGGCCATTACTTGTGCAATCATGATACCTGCTGCCATTGCAATGCTTATTGCAAAAAGAAAATTTAGACACCATCCCAGTCTGTCAAGCAAGCATCTCTGTAAGCTTCCTTACTAAAATAGATTTATAGTCACAGTAAAATATCTAATACCATGGACTTTTTCAAAAGGAAGTAGCATGGAAGTCTTTATTTTGCTTTTTTGCAGCATCAAAAATCTCGATCAAAATTGATGGTGTCAAGGTCTTCAAATTTAAAGAAATGGTACTAGCCACAGACAATTTCAACATCTCAACTCAAGTTGGCCAAGGAGGGTACGGAAAGGTTTACAAAGGCATTCTAGAGGATAACACAGTTGTGGCCATTAAGCGTGCAGAAGAAGGTTCCTTACAGGGTCAAAAGGAGTTCTTGACAGAGATAGAATTGTTGTCAAGATTACATCACCGGAACCTTGTTTCATTGATTGGATATTGTGTTGAACAAGGGGAACAGGTGAATTTTCTAGCACTCATGAGCTATTAGATGCTAAGTTCTTGCTGCCATTGACTTGTGAATATTTTGAGATGGTTAAATTCAATACCTGTGATGTGCATCTGCATAATCACTAGTGATAATATGGGCAATTGGGCATAAATGCATATTGTTGACATTAATTACATTCATTTGTTTTGATAATGCTTGATTCATAGAATAGGATATTTATGACATAACACCATTGGTTAAATATTTGGAAGCATGCATGATGTAGGATGTAAAAAGCCAAGTTTCCTACAAACATTTGTTGGGGGTTGAAATTGTGGGACTGATGTAAAAATAATGGAAATTTTGAAGAGAACAAGGAATGATAAAGTTTGAATCTAGAGTCTGGAGCTGGGAAGAAGTGAGATGAGCTCTCAAATGGAAATTACCTGGAGGTTACAACTATATAATGGGCTTTCATGAAATTCTGGGTGTTTCTATGAGGAGCAATTTCCATGAGGATAAATTTCTCTCTGAGGTTTTAAGGATTTCACTAAAAATTGGATTTAAGGAAGGAGAAAACTTATTTTGGAACTGAAGAATATAGATAATGGAGATTCACACAGGTGCATTAAATCTGAAGTTCTTGGTGCTCAACATGTAATAAAAAAATATGAGTGATGAAGAAGAGAACTAGAAAAGAAGTGGGAAGGTAAGGGGGGGGGGACTAATGAGGGGAGCACACACAACAAATGGTTTCAAAGGACTTCTCAAAACAAAATTTTCATCAATTCTCTGCTTTCAAATGATTCAACATAATGAATTTCCAGAAATACCCCAAAAGCTGAAATAACAGACTTCAAACCGAACTTTAATGACTCAAAGCTTTTATGAACAATTATTGACAGACTTATACAGCTAGTAGACTTATGGATGGATCCCATGGTAAATATATAAAATAACTATATTAACCTAGGGTTTAAAAGCCAAAAACAAATCTCAGGGAAGAAACAGAATTTTCAGACCAGACTTAGGACTATTCAGATGCCTAAATCAAAGGGTAAGATGTTATTTGTTATGTGTAACAATAGAATTTATTAAATCTAATTATAAAAGGATGCACAAAAATAGGGGGGTTGAGAGTCTCCAAGATAAATGGTCATGTATAGAAAAGCAGTGGAATCAAAATCGAACATAATAGACCAGCTTACTTCTTCGACCCTGCAACTGATATGTAAAGTTTGCAGTGAATTAAAAAGATGGCTGGATGATTCTGCACATTGCCTCTTTCCTTGTTTGGATGTAGGTGGAACCCTCCTAATATTACAAAGCCTGTTTACTTCTACCTTTGTTTTCTGGCCAACAAAGAGGGGAAGAATATTATGGAAGTGTACAAGGGCAGCAGTTTTCTGGACTATCTGGGAAGAGAGGAATCATAGAATTTTTCTCGATAAAGAAAGAAGTAGGGGTGTTATTATAGAAACCATCACCATCAGAGTAGTCTATTGGGTGAGGACATTGGAGATCTTTAAGGATATTTCTGCAGATGATTTGATAAGGAACTGAAGGGAGGTAGCTGCTTCTTATATTGAGGTGGTTGTTAGGCCTTCCTGGTCCCCTCCATCTAGTGGTGTCATTAAGCTCAACTTTAACGGAAGCAGTGAAGGTAATCCTGGCCTCTCTGGCATTGGAGGAGTCTTCAGGGATGAGGAAGGAAAAGTTATTGTGATCTATTCAGGTCCAATCGGAATAGGTGATTCATTGAGGGCTGAAATTGTTGCTGTTTTGGAAGGCATCCAAAAGGCTAAAGAGCTGAATTTCAGAAAGCTTTTAGTTGAGGGTGACTCAGAGCTTGTGATAAAGTAGCTTTGAGGGGAAGAGGAGACTGGACGGTGGTGTTACATTTATGAAAAGATGAAAATCGTGAGAATTCTACAGGGGGTGGAAGTGAACTTCAAATGGGTAAGAAGAGATGCCAATGCTTTCACTGACACACGTTCCAAAAAGGGGTGGGAAGGAACAGTTTGTTTTGGGCTATGTTGTAATTGAAATTTCTGCTGGGGAGGGTTACGAGAGTTTATATCTCCCATTTTTTTCCATTGTACATTTTCCTAATTAATGAAATTGATTCTGTTATTGATAAAAAAAAAAAAATCTGCACATTGCCCATACATACTGCAGTAACTGTCATTAATCCAACTCATACCCCTTCTGATCAGCTTATCAGTGGTCAGGCATTTTCCATGGATAGTTGTCCAGACTAGGAAGGCTAGCTTAAAATGGATATAAGGGCACCAAATTTTTGCCCAAGGGAAGAAAGTATGTTGCTGCTGAGACAATCTATCATAAAATTAGTGGACAGAAAATTGTCCAGATTTCTCCCAGGCCCATTCTCTTTTATTATTTGCTGAATATTTGGAGATACAGCATGGAGAATGCCTAACAACTCTGCAATTGGGATGATTTCCAGTCATTCAGATTTCTTCTAAATTCAGGCCCCCAGATTACTCCATTTTCACCCTACTCATGACACTCCTCAACCATGGCTTCCTTATTTTGAGCTAATAGGGAGGGAAATAGCTCAGATAGTGTCAAGATGAACACCATTTATCAATCCAGAAAAGCACTTTGTCTCCTCTTCCAACCTTAAAATTGACTCCTTTTAGAAAATCAGAGTAGACTTTATGGATGTCACTCTAAACTGCAATCCATGGGTGAGAAGACTGGGCCCCGATCCAACCCATATTGCTGGACCCTTTTTTTCCTGTGATAACCTTGTATTCTTTTGCTTATAGTGCTTTTTTTAATAAAATTTCAGATGGCCACCCTTCCACCTAGAGTAAATTTTGGGGTTAAAAAAATGCACTAGGGCTCAGGTTACTGTTCACGTCCTCCCTTTTTGTGCCCTACAAACAAAGGACTCTCTCTACTCACTACAAAAGGGAAAAAATCACTCAAAGGACTGATCGCCCTTTAGAAAAAGAGGATTTCATGCCTCGGGTCATGATTGGTGGTGTGTGTTTGGTGGTCTACTAAGCTCCCTCTGTTCGACAATTTAAAGAGGGGAAGTGCTTGGTGTGGGTAAGAATATAGTTGATATTCGGCTTCCTTTTTGTGGCTGAAAGTTGGAAAAACATGTATCCAGAAGCTTCTTGTTTGGTTGTTGATTGTTTTTTCATAGTCTCAGACCTTTTTGTTGATATATGGCTTCATTAGCTAGTGGTTCTAAGCCCTATGCAGTAGTACAATCAGACTTTACCAAAATACCAATACACAATTGACTAGGGTTAAACTTAATAGTACTAACACTGATTATATACAATAGGCTAAGTCAGTTGAGGAATCTTTGGTTGGATGGGGTACACTGAAATATATTAAGGAAGAATGCCCGAAAAATGGGTCTGAAGAGTATAACGAATGGGTGCAAAAAATGCACAAATTATGACTTCGTTGTGGAATAGCATAATCTAACGAGAATTTATCAATATCATGTGCCAATCTTATGTTTCTGGACATTGCAAAGGAAATTTGGGAGCATGTTAGACAATTGTATCCAAGATAGGATAATCTAACAAGAATTTATCAATTATACCAAGAATTTTTTACTCTTCGACAAGGAGATAAGAGTGTGGAAGAATATTATGCTGCTTTAAAAATCTTGATGAATGAATTGAATGTTTACCAACCTCTACCTCTAACTATAGATTTGAAGATCCAGCAAAAGTAGAGGGAACAATTGGATGTTGCTAGATTCCTTTCTAGGTTGAGATCAGAATTTGAGCCAGTACAAGCCCAGATTTTGGGAAGTAGTGACCTTCATTCTATTTTCTGAGGTTTTCTCTTGCATTAGGAGAGAAAACCAGAGAGTGTTACCAAAGTTGGTGGTAGTGGTGGTTGAGATGTTTATGAAAGAGGTGTGATTAGAGGTACTAGCCCTGGTTTTAGTGGTGGCCATGTTGTTGGTAGGGAAGGAAGAGGTGGTGGAAGAATCAATGGTGGACATAGTCACGCCAGAGAGTGTTCTCATTGTGGCCGTGTGGGCCACACAGTTAACTTTTGCTACGACTTGCATGGCCCTCCCTCCTCTTGGGCTAATTGTGCCTTGCTAGGGGATGACATTTGCAACAATGTTTTTACAATAATCCAACTTCTACAGGAGACGATAAGGATAACTGGATAAGGAATTGGTTTCCATCACTTGTGAAGAGTATGAGAGGCTTCATCTATCCTTCTCATACAAGATTACTACTCTTGCTCATTCAAGTATAACTTGTATTGCTTCTAGTTCTAAAACTTCACCTTGGGTAATTGATTCTAGAGCTTCAGATCATATAGTTGGAACTTCAGATTTGTGTGTCTTTGTCCCTTCCTTCCACTTCTCAATCTGTAACCTTAGCTAATGGGACATCTTCCTCCATTTCAGGCATTGGTAATGTATCTCTTGGTTTTGATCTTCATTTAAATTTTGTATTTTACATACCTAAGTTTCCATTTAGTCTTTTGTTTGTAAGCAAGTTGACTGAATTACTAAACTACTCTATAACCTTTTATCCCTCTTGTTGTGTTTCCTAAGATCTCATGAAGAGGAAGATGATTGATGGAGGTCATGAAGTTGGAGGACTATACCACTTGGATGACAATGGTCCACGAAGAGCTCTTCACTCATCTCTCACTCCTCATTAGTGGCATTTGGGTCACCCATCCCTTCGTATTTTGAAGCAATTAGTCTCTAGTCTAGAGTCAGTTATTCAGTTGGATTGCGAGTCATGTCAACTTAATAAACATCACAAAGTTCATTTTGTTCCTAGAGAAGATAAAAGAATCATGAGTCCTTTTTCCACTTGTTCATTAAAATGTTTGGGGACCTAGTCGTGTATAATCTTACAATGGTTTCAAATATTTTGTAACTTTAATTGATGATTATTCAAGAATGGCATGGATCTATTTAATGAAATATTGTTCTGAGTTATTTTCTATTTTTATCTCTTTTCATGTTGAAGTGAGAAATCAATTTAATGTATGCATTAAAGTTT